GGCCCGGCCCAGGCCAGGGCGTAAATCCAACCGCGCCGGGGCACGAGGCGTTCTGCCTGTGGGACACGGCCCGGGAACGGCCCCCACGGGCTCGGCGGGGCAGCGAGGGGGCAAGGTGCTCTTCAGAAAGCACAAAACAAAGTGTCAGTACGAAAAGGACTGAGCTTAATGACTTGGTGAGCAAAAAGCTGCTGCGTTATTTGTTTTAGCGGAACGCCGAGCAGGCTCCTGCACACCCCGGGAAATAAATGAAGGAGCGCGCAGAACAAGCCCCACATCCGGGCAGGTTTCCTCTCAGGGCTGGGACAGCAGCAGCTTAAGACTACAGGAGGCACAGACAGGGCCGTCCCTCGGCCAACTGCAGCCTCTGCGCCACAAAACCTGCGCTATCGCACCAAGCGTTTCCAAAAACTGAAAACGTTTCATAGTGAGAGGTGCTAAATTTAAACAGAATTGTCATCCAAATTGGAATGGTTTGCAGTGATCAGAGTCCAGCCTGTTAGACCTAACACACAAACTGAACGGTAACTACACCCACGGCAGCTAAAACATTAGCTGGCAACACAATGGAATTAAGAACATTTTGAATTTTTTCCTTTTCTTTACTTTTCCCGATTATAAAAAAAAAAATCAACTCACAATAACCTGTGACACAAAATTAAGTACATCCTTCTAGTATCTACATGCATGGACACGGTATATGTGCATACAGGATATGTGCATATATACGGGTCTATTTTCTATATAAATAAATATTTATACCACATTTAACTCCTGTGCATCAAATAACTTCACTAAAGCTACGGAGAGAATTTATAGAATAGCATTTTCAACGTCACCATCCCAAGGGCAGATCAGACAGTGCCTGTCACGGGGATACCCACTGTCACAACACAGCAGCCCAACCTCACGGCTTCGGTGATTTTGTGTAACGAAGAGGAAAAATGTGGTATAAATCTAAGGTAGCTAGAACAAAATTGACTTCCGCTCTCATTTAGGTAATATCCAGTTCTGCATTGCTCAGCAGAGTGTAAATCATGAAGCTCTCTCTAATTCGCAAAGAAAAGCTGCTTATTTTTATTGCCTGCGGTGAGTTTCAGTTTCTGCACGCCCTCCCGTGAGCCCTCCTGTGAGCCCTCGAGCTGCAGAGTCAGGAGGAACATTTCTCCGTCCCGCTGCTCAGGAGATGCCTTCTCACACTGCCCCGGCACAGCACCGGCACCCCCTGCCCCACAGAGCCCACGAGCCAGAGACAAGGGGCAGGAACCCAACTAAACCAGGTCAGACTTACTGAGAAAGGACACCACACTTTCAGGAGGACAAGGGTTACGTGGTCAGCCTCTCTTCAAACGCTTCCCAGGTTTGTACATACACGATTCTCATGAGTTCTGTGGGTTAACGAGTACTAAGAGCAAACAGCAACTGAAGAGTATGGAAAAAATATGAGAAAAGTTTGCCTATACAGACCAGCCCGGCTCCGTCGAGCGCTCGCCACGCCTCGCTCTCTCTCCTCCCCTCAGCGTGAGCCGGCGAGCACGGGGACAGGCGGAGCACGAGCAGCCAAGAGGTCAGAAGCGAGGTCTGCGAGTTCCTTCCTAGGGTCAATCTCGGAAGACTGGCTTTTCCAGTCAACACCAGAGTCTTCTTACTTCTGCTGGTAATAACGGAAGCTGGGGGCACCGACTGCTCTAGTCTGTTGAAAAGAGGTCCCCAGCAGAGGGCAGAGGCGCCAGCCCTCCCGTGACGTTGGGCAGCAGCGACAGGTCGGGAAGGCTCTGGATGTGAGACTTCAGCTCCTTGCGCACCTGGGTTACCCGAGCGAGCTTCTGTTTATATTCCTGAGGGAGAGAGACAAGAGAACAGAGATTAAGCTCAAGTTAATTAACGGCACTTTTAGTTAAGCCAGGAGGATTTTCCAGGTGAGGATTCCAAGAGAAGGTGGCAAGGCCAGTTCCTCCAAGGAACTATCGGCACAACCGCAGACCCTGCTAAAACGCTCATTCTGTCCAAGCTTGATCAATTTTGAATAGTTAGATAATGCCATTTTCCCCTTCGAGCCACTAAATCCAACCAAGTTTTGGTTGTGCACCAGGGTCTCCCTGTCAGCACCCAAGGGGGCTGTACCACAAGCGCAGCACGTTGGCAACACCGCTGAAACGCAGGTACGATCCCGAAACGCAAACCACGGGAAGACACACTCACACCGGATTGAAACCAAGCAAAATCAAACACGAAGCTTTTCAGAGTTGTATTACTTTTCAGAGCTTTCTGACAAAGGGAGAAAAACAGGCGGCTGGCCCAGGGAGGCTGTGACAGCCGCCTCCCCGAGGTGTCCCAGGCCAGGCTGCACGGGGCTTGGAGCAGCCTCCTCTGGCCGGAGGGGTCCCTGCCCAGGGCAGGGGGTGGAACTGGATGAGCTTCAAGGTCCCTTCCAGCCCAAACCATCCTGTGATTCTGTGACAAGTTAAAACTCCCCAAAGAGGAAACTTGCCAGTCGTTTTCTTCCACAAACAATGTTTGGATTGAGCATGAGAAGTTCAGTAAGAAGCATCTACTCATCTTCAGAAACCTCCACGATCTATGGGGCAGCAGGCAAGTGACCCGTGTGTCATAACGAGAAGACGGAGGAAGAATTTGGACCCTGAGAATGACAGAACTGCACCTTGCTAAACTACGTTCAGAGGCCGTTTAAGAGCAGCCCAGCACATACCCACGTTATCTGTTACAGAAGCTCAACTAAAGACTGAAGTTTATGTAATTTTTAAGGTTTTGCAATTCTAAATATTTATGTAACAGGCCCAGAAGACAGCTGCTTAAGTAATTAAAAAAAAAACTATCACATAATTTCTTCTGGAATGCACCAGTCTAACTACACGTGGCATTTTTTTCATGCAACTCCAAGATGCAGGAACCAGTGAGCTTAAGAAAAATCCTACAGAATAGGCTCCCATACAGTCAGCTGTAATATTAACTTATTTTTCATTTCTTAATTACTTGGCAAAGAGAACAGTTTACCAGAGAACAGAAGTTTGTCTTTGAAGATCAAATAAAATCCGGCACGCATTTAATCAAAACATCTTTTTGAAGAGTTTATGGCTTAAATCTGGTCTCTCTAACCTCCCAGTGCTGGTAATTCCCTTCACCTTCTCCAGATATCAAAGCACAGCAGTTCCTGCGGGGTTACGAGCAATGAGTTCACACTCTGTGTTTCATAGAACAGCGAGAGCAGCAATCAACTGCAACAACTCCACGGCTACATAAATACATCCCACGTGTGTCCTGCCAACCCCAAGTAAGAATGTCCCTTAACAGCCTATTTCAAACTTAAATCCTTTTACGAGGCTCGGCAAGTTAATGTACCACCAAAACCAAACACTTCTGCTCCCATATGTGGGGTGTACACTGAAATAATCAAGTTCAAACAAAGCTCGATCTGTTTGACAAACTAAAGCAAACTGTTCTCAAGCCCAGAGGAGAACAACAACAAAAAACAACTCAGGAGAAGGTGCAGCCACGAATTTATGACCGCAAGGATGTGTTTGGTTTTGCCAGAAGAGAAAGAATTGGGATCAAATTAAGAATGCACCCCACATCCCTCGTCATGCCACTTGGGGAAATACATATGGAAACAAGTCAATTAGATACCTTATAAAGACAGAGAAAAAAGAAAAACACACAGGCAAACAACCCCGATTATTAAGCGCAAACACAGAAGAAAAGCAGCTAGAGGAAAACCAGGGAAGTACTGCGTTCCCACACTTTGTGCCCTTCTCCAAGAGACAACTGTTTTAAGAAAAATAACAAAAATTCAGGCCGTTGTCTGGAAGTGATGGATATCAAGCCAAGAAAGAAAAGGCAGTGCTTTCTCAAGAATGCTGAACTCTGTCAGGAGTGAATATTGGCAGATTTTTTTCTGCTGTAGTAATTCTTGGTAAAAACAGAAAAGAAATAGAGAAGAGCACGGCAGCTGGCAAGTCCCCCAAGTCTGATAAACAGGTAGAATGTGCAAATTGCAAGAAAATACCTCATATAACTGCTTGGATTGCCAAGACCCACGCACAAGAATTCTGTAACAACAGGTCCAAGGCAATGTCAACCTCCATGGGAAGACAAACATCCTGCTGCTCTGCCGAGAGGGCCCAGACTTGGCCCTTCTCCCACCCAGCGGGCACTGGGACACGGCGGTTTGTCAGGGCAAGAGTTTGTGTGACTATTACAACCGTATTAGAGACAAACAACATCTCCTTCCTAACAGAACTATTCAGGGGGTGAGAATCTTCCCAACGCCTCGCCTGGCAGCCACGGCCATATCCCACAAGGTAGGACTCTGGAAAAAGCTCTCACGGAAAACCACGTTTTTCACATAGCCCATGACATGCTTTGAAACTGCATTTTGCAGATTTTTTGCATAAGGTCCCTCCATTTTATAAAATGGAAAAAAAACACGAAGTGCACTCAAAGAATCTGCTGCTTTCTGAGGTCTTCGTTTGTCCTCCGCGTGTCTAGCTAATTGCCTCACCGCAGAGTAGGCTTTCATTAAGATTAATAGTATTTGCATGCTATTTGCTTTTTTTAGACAAAATAATGAGATCTTTGCTGTAAGCAGGAGTTGCAGGATGACACAGAAAAAAACCTGGCGCTGTGCCACACGGACGCTTTTGCTTATCAACATTCTCTTTCGGTAAGCGGCATTCTACAGCCACGGCAGGCCAGCGAGTTAGCCACTTAGTCCCTGAAACACACGCAAACTTGGAATGAAATGCCTCTGAGCCCATCTGACGGAAGCGTTTCGATCAAAAGCCGTCTTGATTCAACATTATAAACCTGGAACCGACACAACAGGAGATTCACGCAGAGGATGGCTGCACGGCTCACTTCGCCTTGTCGAGGTTCACGGCACGGACTTCAGGTGATTTCAGCTCAGAATTCACACAGACCACCTCCGCTCCTGTGCCAGGTCAAGCAGGAACATGCTGTAAGAAACCACAGCAATTGCATCTACTCAAAACCATCTAGTTAAGCATTAACAAGAATTTAGGGAGTGAATAGGAAGAGCAGCCCGCCGCTCTCCGTTTTGATATGCTGCAGCCTGAGCTAGATGTCTGAAAGCAGAAGACCACAGAAGTCAGGGAGAAAACGTGCCAGAGGCTGCACAGAAATCCAAAGAGGAACAGGCAGTGAAGTGAGAGGTTTGACAGGGCTGCGTTTATAGGGTCAGGTAAGATCTCTATTTAAAAATGTTACATATATAACACTACTAGAGCAGGCTGATGAGGTCTTCCTTAGCTTTTGCAGCTCGCCTTTTAACACATATAAAGTACTTTTGAAACACATTCATAAAACAGGTTAGAGTACGAATGCCAGTGGTGAAAGCCACTTTTCCTTATTTTGCAGCAGCACTAAACCTGAGGATTTCATACAGTGCACCTGAAGGATGCAGCCCAGCGATGAGAGCCTGAACGATGCCCTTCCTTACGCAGCTTCGGCTCATTTTCACGCCTTAAATTTGTTCACAGTCTTGCCTGTTCAGATCTGACAAGGCTTCTTTCTTTTGCAGCATCATCCATCACACTTCAGCAGAGATGGCGTTCCTGCTCTTGGCACGACTACACGCTCTGAAACCAGAACTCGTCTCCTTGCTCTCCTCGTCGTTCACAACAACCTCGAGTTGTCCAACAGACGAGTCAGCACCAGAGGCCCCTGCAGAGCACTTCCCCAGCTGCCAGAGATGCCTCCTCCTCAGCTGCCACCCTGGCAACACTTAAAAGCTCTCTCAGAACGGGCCCAGGCTGTCATCATACGACGGCAACGAAACGCGGCTTCCCTTGCAGCATCACCCTTCCTGCAACAAACACCGGGGGGTTGGGGGGGCAAGTGATGCTCACGGCAAAAATCAACATTTAGGGCAGAAGCAAACAGCTACGTATGCACCTGCCCAAGCACCTCCATGCTTCTGATCACTAAGCAAAGGGGTAGGCATACACTGGCTCACTTCAGTAAAATGCATGAAAATATTCCGTACTAACATTGGATGATTTTTTATTCACCTGAAGGGTGATTTCCTTTGCAGAACTACTACAATTATGAATGCCTGTAAGCACCTACAAAGTGAAGAAATTAAACCTTTGCATTGCGTCAAGAAACACAGCTCCTGCCTCGAGCCACACGCCGCACAGCGCAACCCCATCGTACCGCTTGGTCCTTGTCCCACACCCAAAGGCAGGACCGGCTCCCAGCTGGAAATACTGACACAGCTCCCCACTTTTTGCCGTGTTACTCAGCTGTTGGGCTCTACAGACCCGGCCGGGGTGCTGCTCTTCAGGCTCCTACTGCCCTGCCCAGGGCAGGAGACTCCACTCCACTGTCCAGCTCCCTCGGCTGCCTCCTGCTGCCTGCACATGTAAAATAGTGAAATTTCTGCTTACTGGCAGAAAAACTAAAACTTCACCTCTTGTTCCCTGCCTACCCCACTGAAACGAATACATCACAACCCAGGAGTTCTTGTCTGAGAGGAAAGTGGCAGCCACAAAGGCACGGCAGCAGCGACACGCAACAAAAACCTAAGCGGTGGAAGCAACACAGCAATAAATTGCATATTAACCCACCGAACTAAATCATATTTCAAGAAAATGGGTAGTGCCAGGCGGTCCAGAAAACCTCAAGTGAGATTGTACTTCATCCTTCAGAGTCACATTATCAAAGAGGGTCTGCAAATTCATACGGGCGCAGCTTTAACACCTTATTAAAGTTGCCTTGAAGCCATGAATATTAAAAACCACGAACATCTAAAAACCCCCACAGCTCTCAGCAGGGCTCTAACTCACAATTTTTCAGGTGCTGTCAACAATCAGAAAATTTTTCCTAACTCGGATCTTAACTACAGTATGTTTTTTTACATTTATATGCACACGCACCCGTATTTGTATGCCCCCCCAGCATGCTGCACCGCACGCACACCGTACGTGCTACGGGATGTCCCTACAGTGTCACTTTTTAGAAACGCAGGCACAGAAGACAGCTGGAGGGCGTGGGGAAAGAACTTGGCGTCACCGACTGCAAATCAAAACCAAAGTTCTGAATGCGCATTTTCCTCTTTTTCTTTCCTCTCTTCTGATTAAATAACCTCCGCTCCACTTACTCCAAATTTTCTAGTGGCAGTGGTTATTTCAGACACCCATAAAGCCTCCACACACTTTCCCATATTCCAGCACTACTTCCCCTTGATTTTTCTAGTCCATCTATTTAGTTGACGCCACTTTCCAGACATCTGCTACGGCAACAGGGAAATGTTCTCCTGGGAATCTCCCCGCTAAACTTCATATTTACAAATTGATTCCCTGGATTTTTCTCTGCTTGCTTGCCGCACACTCAGGAAGAGTAGGCTGACTTCAAAAGCTGATCCCTGCCCTTGAAGCTCTACAGACTCGGGTGCTGAAGGACAAAACCCCTCCCAAGCTGACCCTACTGGTAATTAACAGGGGCAGCAACAGCCAAAAATAACACAGCGCAGAACACTTCGGTTGGAAGTTATGATATCCATGTGAGATACAAAGACACCTTATCTCATTCTCACAGAGACACCGGTTCTTGTTGCTCTGCCTGTCTGAAATTGGAGTTTATTTCCCGACACCTACTATTATGAAGAGCCTGGCCCAGCCCAGCCACAGGAGATCACGTGCCAGCTGCAGCCTCCAGCCCACGACTGCTACAAATGAAATTCGGTGCTCAGGTGTCGAACGACAGAATCCACCAGACCTTTCAGTAAGCTAACCCAGGGACTATTTACCCTTAAAATAGGTGCCTAGTTATAGGCTTTCAGCATCACCTTTGGCCCAGTCAATTTTGCTCTGCAGCTCATTACCAGAGTTAAAGGCCTTCTGCCTTCTCCTTCTAAGCCCTTTCCGACCACAATCAAATTACCACAATCTCTCTTCCCCCCCAATAAAGTAATCCTAATTACGACACTTTCAATTTATCCAGTTGCCACGCTAAAAGCAGAGTTTGTCCACATGTCCAGATCGCCAGGCTCCGCGCCAGCTTTCTATTATTGTCGAGTTACCGACACTTCTCAGCACCGCGGCATCTCCACCCTCGCTCGCGCCAGTCAGCACCGAGGCCGAAGCGCAACTCCTCCTCCAAAGCCACCTTTTCTCAGTGCATCGTCCCTTAACAGAACAGCTTTCCTGCAGCTGATGACGAGAGCTCGGGTTTTGACATCGCAGAGCATTCTGCGCATTAGCCCACTAGACATAAACACGGGGAGTTCATGTACACATTTTGAGAACTCGCTGTGGTTCACAAGGGATGGTATTAAGAGGATTAGTAAACAACTGTAGCTGCTCAGACCACAACAGCTGCTTTTCAAAAGACGTAGATTAGCTACTGTCATTGCCATCCTACTGACAGACTTTACTTTGTAAATAAAACACACAAAAAATATTCAGTGTTATTTCCAAATTAGAAATCTCCATAACTGAAAACAAAGCCCTGAGACACATCACTGTCAGAAACCCCTTTCCCCAACTGGCAGCCTTGGCTAGATTAGGAAAGCGAAGTAAACAATCCATCTTCCATCTAAAAATGCCATCTCGTCTGAGAGTCAGGAAACTTACTTCAGAAGGGGAAAAAAAAAACCTTACGGCCAACAGTGCCAAAGATGCTGGAAAAGATACCTCGAGAACGCAAAGCACACAATTAGAAGACGCGTAAAATTAGATTGGTTTAAGTTATTTTCTTATTTCAGCTTTTGCTTGAGTAAATGTTTTGCTTTCAAATACATTCTTAATTGCTACAAGACTTTCAGATCCTTCTATTAAAACGCTTATTAGCACTACAAAGAAATTTCCAGGCTTATCAACAACGTTACTGGGAGAACATCAAAGACTCAAACAAACGTGATGAGCAGATACAGCCTGTGGTATCTGGAACCAGCATCTCCCAGCACTTATTAACCCTCTACAACTCCAGAACAATGGGACGCTTTAATCAGGCAATATCCCTCAGCTGAGGCTCGAGATGCGACATGAGCAGGAGTTGTGCCTGCAGGTCAGTAAGCACTAAGACTGGCATTTCCTGCAGCTCGTTTTAGGCTTCCACAGCACTACGGCCACCTCATTTGGGCAGAAGAACAAAGATGCCGACCTGAACATACATTTAATAAGATCATTCTTTAGCTTCCAACATACTAAAGAATGTGTTGATACCTAAGAGCGGGCAAGCAACCCGTCCTGCTGCCCTCAGCAGGATTGCTCCTGTTAACACAGCAGCTCAGCCAGCCAACGGCTTCATTCTCAGGATGACATCTCTGCCTCTGCCAGGCACAACTTCCGAGCAGCATTCCTCACCACACGGACACCCACCTGCTCCAGGGGCCAGAGGAGGCCACAGAGCCGACCGGGGCCTGCAGCACCTGCCCCGTGAGCACAGGCTGAGGGACCTGGAGAGGAGAAGGATCCAAAGGGGAGAGCTGCCAGCGGGCTCCCAGCACTGCACCGGGGCACAGGAGAGATGGGGAGGGGCTCTGGGTCAGGGGTGAGGGGCAACAGTTTCAAACTGAAAGAGGGGGGATTTAGATTAGATATTAGGAAGAAATTCTTTTCTGTGAGGGTGGTGAGACCCTGGTCCAGGTTGCCCAGAGAAGCTGCAAGTGTCCCCTCCCTGGCAGTGCCTGACCTGGGCTGGTGGGAGGTGCTGCTCTCCGGGGCAGGGGCTGGAACTGGAGGAGCTCTAAGGCCCCTTCCCACGCAAAACATTCTGTCATTTTCCAAAACAAAAAACAACACAATTGTGAAACCATCTCAGCTAGTGCATTAGAAATTTTAATTTAACATTGTCATTGCTCATTTCTGAATTTCACAGTCTCAAATTGACTCAAATTTATGGATTGTTCTGGGCTTTTAAAAGCATTGCTGCGCAGCATTTTTGCTTTTTCTTAAAAAAACTAAACAGCAGTATGTCTATCACTTACGTATTTTTATACATACACACATGCATGTTTCTACTAGCCAGGTGTCCTTTCAGCAAAGTTAAAAAAAACCCAGCTTGACCCAAGACTTGTCCTGCTATTCAGCAAATAACTCAGATGCCAAACAGGATTTGGTTTTATTGTATCTCTCATATCCATGCCTGAAAGTGCCTTTTAAAAACCTCAGTCACAAGACAGATGTTACAATTGAAGAAACTCAAGCTAAACATTCTAACAGAATTAATAACTATCAGCTCTCATTCTGGATACAGAATCAGCACTTGTAGGCTGATTTGGAAAAAATGTTGCTCTGGAACAAGCAATATGTTCACAGTCACAAGACACTGAGAAACTCTAGTATAAACACACACACACCAGAGAAAACACTCAAAGCACAATCTACCTCAGAACAATGTTGCCTCGCTGTCAGAGGATTGGGTAATCCAGCACACAGGGCCCCAGCCCAGCCTCCTTCCAGGAGATTTTGTCCTCTCCCCAAGTCACGTCCCACCCAGCGACAGCTGCTCGCCACAACACGCAGGCCCCGGCGTGGAGGCGGCAGTTTGACAGATGGCACGGGGACACGCAGCCACAGCCAGGAATTAAACTTCCACACTAGTCCCAAGGCGCTGGTGCTGGAGGAACTTCCTCCCGGAAAGAACATTTCAGCACAGAAGCTGGAGGTGAGAGTGGCTGTTACAGGATGGGCAGAAGCAGTTAAAGTGCCCTCCCTCACCAAGCAGGGGCTGGGAGGGTGGATAAGGGGCACCCAACCACAAGGGAAAGAAAACAAAAGGATGGTCAATAAAAACCAAAACCAGCTGATTGCAGCAGAGGGAGGCTGATTTTCTGGAAATGGAGATTTCATAAAAAAAGATGTTAAGTCTGAAGAAACTTGGTCAGGTGAGCTTATTCTTCTTTAAGAATGGAGTTCTGGGTCTTCCGTGCCCACGCGCATTAGACATACCAGACCAAATGTCCCAATGCATTTGCCTTCTCCAGACTTGACATCACGGCCTCAGCCCTGGTTTTACTCCAAACGTAAAGCTAACACCTAGAATCACCTCCCTGGAGAAGGACAAAGATCAGGAATCAAGCGGGACACCGGTGAGACAACTGGCTCACGGGTACCGGTGGGATCAGTACTCACTTCTAGCTTCTTCTCCTTCTCCGTCAGCACGTCCTTCTGGTTCTGGGTGTACTCAATGAGCATGCGTGCCAGCTGGCGTCGGTCCTCCAGCTCTGCTGCCAGCCGCCCGTTGTACTCGGCGAGTAACAGGCACGCTTCGTCCACCGTCTTCGAGAGGCGCTCAGCCGCCTCCTTGTCTGCAGGCAAAAAGGGGAAAAAAAGAAAGGTTGGGTAGTTTAGAGGACAAAGCTTCAATTACATCTCATTCATAAATACACTTCTGGCTTGACAGGAAAATAAGAGTTCTCATCACAGGGGACACAAAGGAAATAGGCAAGACTAAACCCAAGAACGGTGGTTTTATGCATGGACATGACTGACTGCATTTTGTCCTTGCAAAGGTGTCCATGATGGGGTGGGGACAGGATATAAATCTACGAGGTTAGCCTCTATAGACAGGTTAATTAAACTAAAACATCAGGCTTTACTTGCAGCTAAACAAATTGGGTGGTTTTCACATTTAAACATGCTGTGCACTTTTTAATTTCACTTTGCTTGTGTGGATGCATTAGGAGCTACTCAGAGGAAACACATGAATTGCACACCAGGCTTCACAGCTGGACACCCTAAGAGTGTATCACAAAGGGCTGAATAAGTGACAGTTCATAATGAGTTTTAAATTAAAACTACTTCCAGGAACAAGAGTCAAATCAGTTCAACATTTAAATGCTTCTGCTAAGACCACTTTTCAAATGCAATTGCAAGAGTCAATTTAGACAAAGACCAACACATTAATGGAGGTAGCAAGTTTCCTTTTCTGTAGCCATCGAGGAGTAAGTGTGTGCTCAGCACAGCCTGATAAGAAAAAATATCTAACAGTCAAGGTGTTGCAAACTAAACACATCCACCTAACAACTCTGGCCCCATTTCCTTTACAGTCTTACAAAACACTGCTGATGCTCTCCAAGTACAAAAGCCTTGGTCCGAGCCAAAAAAAACCAAATAAAAATCCAAACAAAAGTAAACAAGCAAACTCTCCAAAACAAACAAACAAACAAAAAAATCCCACAAGCCAGCTACATAAGTTTCCTCTTCCATTTTATTTCAGAGAATAACTATCTACTGATTACCCAAAAGCTAGAAAATACAGACACAACAGCAG